TAGCTTATCTCTTTCATTTTCTTCAGTCCCCTTGTTTGTTCGTGGTGTGCTCCTCTTCCTTTCCTGGGCTCTACGGTGGTCTGATAGGGCCTCTGCATACAGTTTAATTCCTTTGTTCCCTACAGTCCCCTCATTTGTAGCTGATGTAGCAGCTCGTGATGTCATGCCCGTACTGCTCTTTGGTTTTTTAGACTGTTTCAGATTTTTCAATTCCTCTTCAAAGATCTACATCTTAGCTTCCGCTGCTGTGGATTGTAGCTTCCATTTCTTGCTCTCTGCAGCTATCCTTTCCACCATTTCTTTCTAAACTCGTCTAGCTTCCTTCCCCACCCTTGTTCCCTTTTAATGACCTCTGCCACTCTATCTTCCTTTCCAGACTCATCCACCAGTTCCCTGGTTTTCCATCCTGCTCTCTGGCAATCCATTTTTTTAGTACCACAGAATGATTATTTGTAATGTGTGTTTGTAAGTGTGTGTGTGTACTCACCTATTTGTACTCACCTATTTGTGGTTGCAGGGGTCGAGTCGTAGCTCCTGACCCCGCCTCTTCACTGATTGCTACTAGGTCCTCTCTCTACCTGCTCCATGAGCTTTATCATACCTCGCCTTAAAACTATGTATGGTTCCCGCCTCCACTACTTCACTTTCTAGGCTATTCCACGGCCTGACTACTCTATGACTGAAGAAATACTTCCTAACATCCCTTTGATTCATCTGAGTCTTCAACTTCCAATTGTGAACTCTTGTTTCTGTGTCCCATCTCTAGAACATCCTGTCTTTGTCCACCTTGTCTATTCCGCACAGTATTTTATATGTCGTTATCATGTCTCCCCTGACCCTCCTGTCCTCCAGTGTCGTCAGGCCGATTTCCCTCAACCTTTCTTCGTAGAACAATCTCCTTAGCTCTGGGACTAGTCTTGTTGCAAACCTTTCCACTATCTCTAATTTCTTGACGTGCTTGACCAGGTGTGGATTCCAAACTGGTGCTGCCACCAGGCCCGGTGGCCTGGTGGCTAAAGCTCCCGCTTCACACACGGAGGGCCCGGGTTCGATTCCCGGTGGGTGGAAACATTTCGACACGTTTCTTTACACCTGTTGTCCTGTTCACCTAGCAGCAAATAGGTACCTGGGTGTTAGTCGACTGGTGTGGGTCGCATCCTGGGGGACAAGATTAAGGACCCCAATGTAAATAAGTTAGACAGTCCTCGATGGCGCACTGACTTTCTTGGGTTATCCTGGGTGGCTAACCCTCCGGGGTTAAAAATCCGAACGAAATCTTATCTTATCTTATCTTACTCTATGCAGCACCAACATGGGCCTGACGTAAATGTGTGTGTGTGTGTGTGTGTGTGTATGTGTGTGTTTGGCGGGGATGGGAGAGGAGCGAGGGAGGTAGGGAGAGGGAAAGGGAAGAGAGAGTGGGAGGGGTGATAGTGGTAAAGGGGAAAAGAGATGGAGAGGGGGAAAGAGAGGGGAGTAAGAGGACAGAGAGTGATAGGCAAAGGGGGAGAGAGAATGGGAGAGGGAGAGGAGGAGGAGAGAAAAAAGGAGAAGGGGAGTTAGTGTGTGTGTGTGTGTGTGTGGGTGTCTGCGTGTACTCACCTATTTGTAGTTGCAGGGGTCGAGATATGGCTCCTGGCCATGCCTCTTCGCTGATCACTACTAGGTCCTCTCTCACCCTGCTCCATGAACTTTATCACACCTCGTCTTAAAACCATATATGGTTCCTGACTCCACTGTGTCACTTGCCACACGACACCGCTTCCTGACAACTCTGTGGCTAAAAAAAATACTTCCTAGCATCTCTTTGACTTAGCTGAGTCTTCTGTGTCCCATCTCTGGAACATCCTGTCTGTGTCCACCTTGTCATCTTGGTTCTCCATGTTTCGGGACTCACATGTGGCTCCAGGTTTTCCCAATCAATCTCCATGTGATTGAAATTGTCCTTAAATATTACTTTGCTCTACCATGTGAGTTATTCTGGCCATCTCAGCTCTGTTGCTCTCCTCATATTCTTCTGTTGGCCTCCTGCAGTTCTGTGGCTGGTTATACATCACTGCAATAACTACCTTATGTTCCCCAGACTGAATTGTACCTATGTACTCCCATTGACGAATTTTGTCTATTCCTTCCATTTCCTCAATTCCCCATCGGTTTTTAATGAGTAGTGTAAATCCTCCTCCCCCTCTGCTCCTTCTATCCTCAGGATCTGATATCCGGGTGGGAAGATTGCATCTGTTATCATCCCGCTGAGTTTCGTTTCTGTGACGGCTATGATGTCTAGGGATGGCTCCTTGGTTCTTTAATGCCACTCACATTTATTTGTTATTCCGTCCGCATTTGTATGGCAAACCTTCAACTTCTTTTCTAAAACTGTGGTCTGGGGAGAATGTTGAGGTTGAGGGAAAGGGAGATCTGGCAGGGAACTATGCGGGGTTGCTGTGGGGGTGGAGTTTGTGATGATGGGGTGGGAGCAGAGGGTATAGTGTGTGGGTTTTGGGTTAGATTGTTTGGTTGCATTGGGGTTGTCATGTTTGTGGTCCTTCTCTGGGTAGTTCTGAGGGAGGTTTTATTTGCTCTTCTCTCTGAGTCTGGGTTCTCCTGCTCATCTCCGTTGTTGCCTCTCATTCCTCCTTGCGTCTTTGTACCCTCTCTTTCAGTTTCTGCCTTTCTTCTTGTGTTCTGTCACAGTCGAGGTACACCCCCTGATACTTCTGTATGTCCATTAGTTGTGCTTTCTGCTACAGGATCCTGTTTCGAGGTGATTCTGCCTTGATAATAAATTTAACTGACCGTTTTTTTTCCTCTTGCAAACCTCCCTCTTCTCAGAAAATTTGTCAACTGGGTCGTGTTGCCCTCTCCTATTTTTCTCATGATACTTTCAATCGTTTTTTTCTCCTCCTGTCTTCTTTTTTCTTGCTTCATAAGTTTCTCCTTCAATTTCCTGGAGCCAGTAAACCACAACTGACCTCTCCCTTTTGTCCTCCCACTGCATTTCCCTTTGCATCCCCTGAGATGATTTAGTTGTCTCTATTGCAATGTTCCTTCCTTTAATCTCTTCTTCATCTGATGTCCCTGTGCTCAGTGGTCTGTCATTATTCCTAAGCTTTTCCTGGGCATTGCTGTGGTCTGTTATGGCCTCTGCATATAGCTTAGCTTCATTTCCTTTGGTCCTCTCATTTGTTCCTGGTGTGCTTCTCTTCTTTTCCTGGGTTTGACAGTGGTCTGATAGGGCCTCTGCATACAGTATAGCTTCTTTGTTCCCTACAGTCCCCTCGTCTGTGACTGATGTAGCAGTTCCTGATGCCATGCCTATAATACTCTTCGGATCTTTAGACTGTTTCAGATTTTTAAGCTCCTCTTCTAAGCTCTGTATCTTGGCTTCTGCTGCTATGGTTTGCAACTCCCATTTCCTGCTCTCTGCAGCTATCCTCTCTATTTTCTTGCTAAGCACTTCCAGTTTCCTTCCCCACTCTTCCTTCCTTTTCCTGAGCTTTGTCACCCAATCTGCCCTCCCAGTTCATCCACCAGTCCTCTGGTTCTCCGTTCTGTTCTTTTGTAACCTATGTTTTTTCTTTTTTTTTTTTACCTCAGAAAGAAAAACTTGTGTGTGTTCGTGAGTGATGTGTGTGTGTGTGTGTGTGTGTGTGTGTGTGTGTGTGTGTGTGTCTGTGTGTGTGTGTGTCTGTGTGTGTGTGGGGTGTCTGTGTGTGTGTGTATGTGGAGGTGTTTGTTGTATGGAGGGAGAGGGGGAGGGAGGTAGGGAGGGAGGGAGAGGGATAGAGAGTGGGAGGGGGAGACAGTGGCAGAGGGGAGAGAGATGGGGGGAAGGATAGGGGGGTATAGGGAGAGAGGGGGATAGGAAGTGAGGGAAACGCAAGTGGAGAGGTGGGGAGAAATAGAGGGAGGAGGAGAAGGAAGAGGAAGATGAATAGGAAGAGAAGAGGAAGAGTGAGTGAGAGAGAGAGAGAGAGAGGGAGAAGGAGTACTCACCTAATTCACCTAATTGTGGTTGCAGGGGTCGAGACTCAGCTCCTGGCCCCGCCTCTTTACTGAGTGCTACTAGGTCCTCTCTCTCCCTGCTCCATGAGCTTTATCATACCTAATCTTAAAGCTATGTATAGTTCCTGCCTCCACTACGTCACTTTCTAGGCTATTCCACTTCCTGACAACTCTACGACTGAAGAAATACTTCCTAAAATCCCTTTGACTCATCTGAGTCTTCAATTTCCACTTGTGACCTCTTGTTTCTGTGTCCCCTCCCTGGAACATCCTGTCTGTGTCCACCTTGTCTCTGGAGTGTGGGACAGTGTGGCAGAGTATGTGTGGCAGAGAGTAGTTTGAGTGTAGGTGTGAGAGATCAGTGTTTCCAGGGGTGGCAAAGTTTCGTGTAAATGTTTGTGTACACACAACGTGTGTTTCCAGGGGTGGCAAAGTTTCTTGTACATGTTTGTGTACACACAACGTGTGTTCTCACACGCTTGTGTAGTGTTCATGAGGCCTTGTAGACTCTACACTAGACTCAAGTTTTTGTATCTTAATTTGTATTTAGTACAGAGTTCTTTCCTAGCAAAATGTAACCTTTTCTATTTATTGTTGTCTCCAGTGGCACTAGTCTAATAAACACCTGCCTACCTGACCTGACTTCTGGATTTAAATACCAAGTACTGTGTATAGGTGTGTAGCTGTGTGTGTGTGTGTGTGTGTGTGTGTGTGTGTGTGTGTGTGTGTGTGTGTGTGTGTGTGTGTGTGTGTGTGTGTGTGTGTGTGTGTAGCTGTGTATGTGTGTGTGGTGTGTGTGTGTGTGTGTGTGTGTGTGTGTGTGTGTGTGTGTGTGTGTGTGTGTGTTCGTATGTGTGTGTCCGTATGTGTGTGTGTGTGTGTGTGTGTGTGTGTGTGTGTGTGTGTGTGTGTGTGTGTGTGTGTGTTCGTATGTGTGTGTGTGTGTTTAAGTGAAGAAGCTAGCGTTTAATAATCAGTGTTTAATAATTCTTCCTCAGGTTACATCTGAGTGCAGTACAGAAACAGCTTCCACACCAGCTAGCGCAGGTGGTGGCGTGGTATTCACCATCCCTGCTCACATCCCGCCACCTCCTCAGTATTGCTCTACCACTTGTAACGAGCTGTCGCCCACCCAGCACGCTTTACAACACACCTGTGGCACTCAAAATGTGCCACAACGCACCTCAGATCCCCAGCACACTATTCCATGGCCCTCGGGTAGTCAGCACACGCTTCCTCGCTTTTCGGAAAGTCAGCACTCTGTACACCCTGCTCAGGACATCCAACACACTTTACAACAAACATCTCCATTACAGCATTGTCTGCTGCGAACTTCCTCGATGGAGCGAGGCGAAGGTCACACCGCGGGTTCTCGTAACTGCTTAGCTGGAACATTGCTACCAGCACATACCCAGCATCACGGAACTCCTCCCACCTTCTCCTTACAGTATCCAACCCATGCGCAGATCGTCTACACCTCAGGAACAGATGCTGTTCTTCAACATCCACTAGGAATACCGCAGGTACCACAACCGGCAGCGATCCACTACGTGCAACCTCATCCAGGGCTCGGAGGCGATGCTCCACCCACACTTACCACTAACCAAAGGGGCGCCCCTGCAGCACATATGTATGCGTCGCAACATATAGGTCTAGGGATCACGTCGAGCCAATTGGGAAGAAATTCACTTCATCAGAAATCTTTGCTGTCACAGGATAGAATAGAATACACAAAAAAGCCCTCAAACATAGTGCCACAGGGCAGTCAAGAGTACGCAGAAGAGACTATAATCATGGCGTCACAGGGCGGTATAGAGTGTGCAGGGGTGTCCCAGGGGGGAGTAGAGTACATAGAGAAGCCCTCTAGCATGCACTCCAGCCCTCAGAGTGGAGCCAGGCAAGTCTCCTGGACCGGTGGCCCTACTCACGGAGAGGAAAGTGCTGTGTAGTTTCTTGCGGTATTTATAAATTTCACTGTTGTGTCCTTTACCACTGCAGTTTTACTCTTTACTAAGTTTCTCTTATATTCATATATAAATCAACAAGTGTTAACTTACGGAATGGTTAATTTAATTTAGCAAGAGTCACATTGGGCTAAGTTACACTTCCTATATGAGCACCTGTAAAATTTCTGAATTTGTACGTAGGCGAGAAAATCTCCATAACGATTGGAATGTAGCTCAAAACCTCGAAGTAATTCCTGTAATAATAAGTAAAATATATAAATACTTCCTTAGTTACGGTACATAACCTTAGAGTCTAATTTTAAAGTGCTAAATATTACATTTGAATTAATATAAGACACTCTGAGTGGTCGATACTCCTACCCCTAAGAGTGAGATAAAAACTCTGCCTAAATGGACTCACCAGCTATTTATCCCCCGACCTCCTTGACAAGAGCCGCTGGAGAAGCCACCAGACAGTATCCTGTTATGTGTGACAAAATTAAATATAGATCTGAATAATTATATAAAAAATTCATTTGGCAAGTCCTCTTACAAAATACTTAATTTTCTCACTAGGCTACTGAACAGTATATTCATATAACAATGTTAATAATAATAATAATAATAATAATAATAATAATAATAATTATAATAATAATAATTATAATAATAATAATTATAATAATAATACAATAACACCTACATCAATTATTAAGTATTCGAATATCTAAATATTAATGAAAATAATTTTAATATCTCTGTTGTTGACTGTAAGTTACATGATCGTGTTAATGTTTTAGACTGCTTTCCAACGTCAATTATTTCTGAACAGTTTTCATGACTCTCAGTTCACTGCAATGATGAGTAATGTTAAATGATAAGAGGAAAATATTCTAAACGTTTGGATATTTTTCATGGATAAATATTTTGAAATAAAATTATACAGAATTGTATAAAATATTGAAACTCCTAAAATTTGGAAAAGTTTTATATTTAGATTCTCAATAATCTCACGAAATATAGTTGTTAATTAATACCACAGGTATAAATTACCAGGTTCACGTATGTCTATTTCTTGCAGGTTATGAAGTTTACAGATGAGTGTTCACTGACTTGACACAGATATTGTAATATAACTACTGGATAAGAAACCACTAAATTCACTCATAGATGTATTATTAATTTCCCAGATATATATTAACTAATAAGGCTGAGAGACATAAGACTTCTCTCCTCAACGAAGTACATTTCTTGTAATTGAGTTCTCTAACATTTAAAAGGTTGGGTTTCATTTCCCAGTGGATGAGGATTAGTGGTAAGACAAGTAGTAAAGTGGGAATCAATCTCTCAGAAATTAAAATAAATGTCCTAAGCAACTATTTTTTTTCCTCAGAAGATGTGTGAGTAAATTTCCAATCTCACCTTATGATATTACTAACATACGTATATATGAGGAGTTAAGGTAAGATATAAACAACTATTGGAGGATAGATGGGCTAGTGAGAGTATAGGCAATGGGATCGAAGATGTATGGGGTAGGTTTAGGAATGTAATGTTAGAGTGTTCAGCATTAGTTTGTGGTTACAGGAAAGTGGGTGCGGGAGGGAAGAAGAGCGACTGGTGGAATGATGATGTAAAGAGAGTAGTAAGGGAGAAAAAGTTAGCATATGAGAGAGGTTTTTACAAAGTAGAAGTGATGCAAGGAGGGAAGAGTATATGGAGAAAAAAGAGAGGCTGTTTTTTCCCCAGTCTTGGACCAAACTGCATTCACGTGCAACAATATTTCCCCTCTTTTTTTTCTTGAGTAGGCACATTCCTGGCCGTCTTTGGTGCCATACACAAGATAGCTAGGACGAAACACAACTGTAAAGAAATGTGAAGAGCGCGGCTCCTATTGGCCAACCGGTACAATAGAGTGCGCGCCAAGTTTGATTCAGTCTTCTGCCGAAAACGAACTGTTGTTCGGATGTTTCGATAATAATTTTAGAATTTTGCACTTTCCCCAGGACCTGTTCGGGTATAGACGAAGTTCGGATAATGGCAGGCCGGATACGCGAGGTATCACTGTGTTTATTATTATTATTATTATTATTATTATTATTATTATATATATATATATATATATATATATATATATATATATATATATATATATATATATATATATATATATATATATATATATATATATATATATATATATATATATATATATATATATATATATATATATATATATATATATATATATTGCCTATAAAACTGGACTTACTGAATAGGCCAAACTCCCTTAAAAATTGGATTTAAAAAAAAATGTTTTTCATAATGATAGTTATAGTATATCATTGACAATGATGAATACAAAAATTGGGGATGACCAAACTTAACTTGAAATGTGTGTATATATTGAATTTGTGATTATGTGTCTGTGTGTTTACTCATCAATGTAATCACCAATATGTAATTGGAGGGATTCCCTTGAGCCCTCCTCATGGTACTTACCCTTCAGCTCCGAGAGTAGTCTTGTTGGAAACTTTTGCACTATCCCCAGTTTCTTGATGTGCTTGACCAAGTGTGGGTTCCATACTGGTGCTGCATAGTTCAATATGGTTCTGACGGACACGGTGTACATTGTCTTGAATGATTCCTTACTTAGATGTCAAAAAGCTTATCTTATATTTGCAAAACGTGCTTTACCTGCAGCAGTTATCTAGTTGATATACGCCTCTGATATGCTGGGAATGATACTCACCCCTAGGTCCTTTTTCTTGATTACGGTTTACAGCCTTTGCCCTCCGTACCTGTACTTCGTCTGCGGTCTTCTTTATCTTTCCTCTAGCTTTATACATTAGTACTTGGTAGAGTTAACCTCAACGAGCCTTTCAAGATTAATTTGTAGCCTTTGTTGTGTTCTCCTCATTAGTTGCACGTTATCTGCAAACAGAAATATCACTGACTCTGTCCCTCGTGTCCTGTCATTTACTTATACAAGAAACAGCAGCGGCCCTACGACTGATCCTTGTGGGAACCCTACTCGTGACATGCACCCATTCCAACACCGTCTCACGAGCCATCACTAGTTGCTTCCTTCCTGTTGGGTATACCTTGATTTATAGATATTCCTGGCTATTCCTCGTCTAGCTTTTGTACTTGTCTTTTGTGCAGTAGTGTGCCAAAAGCCTTCTTCCAGACACAAAAAATGTAATCAAGCCATCTCTCTCCTGCTTTACTTCTCTTACCGTGGCATAGAACTCCAGTAGGTTCATGAAACAGAATTTTCCATCCCTGAAACCTTGCTTGTTGTCATGTAGGATCCCACTTGTATCTATGTTCTCGACCACTCTTCTTCTCCGTAACGTACTATACATGTCAGTGATGCTGGTCTGTAGTTCAAGGTTGCCTGTCTCCTTAAATACTGGGACTACACTTGCTGTATTCCATACCTCCGGCAGTTTTCCTTTGTCCTGATAGACTTGAAGATTGTTGCTAGCCGCACACACAGCGTCTCTGCTCTCTCCCTCTGGACTGCATTCGTGGTATCTAGTTCACATAGCAGCTTCTTCACTTACTTCTCAGTTGTGCATGATACGTCCAACGCTTCATGGTGCACTCTAATGCTGTTTGCTGGCAGCCTTTCTGTCTTCAGACTTCCTGGTTATTCCTTGAGAGCTCCGTACCTTCCTTGTTTAACCTGATTACCTTGACTATTGTCTTCCTTTGGGTTGGATTTGGTTTTTCAATACTTTGTCATTCTCAAATTGCCGTTGAGCCTCACTTCTGATACATTCATACTCCTTTGGACTCAGCTCCTTGTTTTCCTGAGTTCTTTGTCTTCTATACTTTTTCCATAATTTAGCTTAATTGGTTTTGTTCTCTTCACTTCTTAGCAAATCATGTGCTCATCCTAGCCTTCCTAGTGTTTCTGTTACTCCTTAGAACGATCCTCTTCTCCATCTCTATGCACTTTCTGGCTACAACTGCCCAACTGCTTCTCTATGCACTGCTAATTCCATAGGGAATTTGAAACTCAGGATTGTGTGACCGCTAGTGTCAAGGGGCCTTTCTTATGTAATATCTCCTATGTTGGAGCCACTCAGTGTGAATATTAGGTCCAACTTTGCTGGATCATCCTTCTCTATCTCTCTCTCCGGCTGTATACCTAACGCGTTAGTGCATGCAGTTCTCCATTACTACCTGTAGCATCTTAGCCCTCCACATATGTGTAGGGCTAAAACCCCCATGACCAGTAGTTCTGCCCTGTTCATGTGGCTCTTCTGGCCACCTCAGATAATGTATCCACCATTGTTCTTTTGCTTTCATCATATTCTTGGCTTCTTGCTGTTTGGTGGAGGGTTGTACATCACTACTATCTATGCCTTGGGACCTACGTCTTCAGTGTGTCTAATGTGTAACTATGAGCTTCCCCTCTGTCCATTCCTCTCATCTTCTCAAAACTTTACTCGTTTCTGATATGCATTGCTTCTCCTGTGTTCCATCGGTCTTTTCCCAAAATCTGATAACCATTTGGGTTGATTACGTCTGTTATAATCTCCATCTGTCATAACCATTTTGGGAAGATTGTGTCTGTTATTATCTAGCGTTGTCTCTGTGAGTATCATAATCTCTGGGGATGCCATCATGAAAAGTGCCACTCTTCATTCTTATTTGTTATTTCATATCCATTGGAGCACCATACCTTCAGCTTCCTTTTCATTACTGTGATTTGGTTCGTGGATTCCTGGATTACCAGTCGTTAACCATGGGTCAGCTGGTGTGACGGGGGTATGGGAAGGGGGTGAGACTTTGTGGCAGGAAGTTGTGAAGAAAGTATTTGTGCTGGGGGAAATGGTGGCAGTGGTGAAGAATATAGTCATCTTTGGGTATTGTACTTGGATGGGAGGGGAAGCTGGTGTTTGAGGAGTGCCTGTGAGTGGTTCTCCGGTGACAGATTACTATGATTTATTATTATTATTATTATCGAATAAAGCGCTAAACCGCCAAGGATCCTCCGGTGGCTAAGCTTCCATGTCTGTCGATGCACATCCTGCTTTCCTTCCTGCCTCTGGCGACTCCTAATTGCTCTTTTCATTTCTTCTTGTCCCGAAAGAGGTAGACCCGGCAATATTTTTCTGCGTCCCTTATAAATAGTTTCTGTTGCATGATACTGTGCCATTCCATTACTGCAGTGAGGTTCAAATTGACTAGGTGACTTCCTCCGCTCGTGAACCTTCCAAGCCTGTGAGAATTTGTCACCCGGGGCACATCCTTCTCACCTGTTAGTGTGATGATATCGTTAACCTCCCTTTTCTCTATCAGTCGTATTTCGTCATTAGTCCTCCCTTCAACCTCCTAAAACCAGTGTGTGATATGCTGCTGCTGGTATCCTCATGAACCCCGTGGTGTGTGGTGTGTGTGTGTGTGTGTTACTCACCTAATTGTAGTTGCAGGGGTCGAGACTCAGCTCCTGGCCCCGCCTCTTCACTGAATGCTACTAGGTCCTCTCTCTCCCTGTTCCATGAGCTTTATCATACCTCGTCTTAAAGCTATGTATGGTTCCTGCTCGTGAGACTGTTCCACTTCTTGACCACTCTATGACTGAAGAAATTCTTCCTAAAATTCATGTGGCTCATCTGAGTCTTCA